TCTAACTCACTCGCCGGGTTGCTCATGTTGGTTCACTTGGGGCTGCTGATGTTTCTTCTGCTGTGTGAGGAGATAAAAAAAATGAACTACTTCAGTAAACTTTAGTGTCTATAGTTACAAAGATCACAATGAGAGAGAGAGAGAGATCCAGTAAAATATCATACAAGTTCACATTGGTCCATCATATACATACACAGAAGAATTATATAAACAGTGATAAACATTAAGTCAATTTAACCAAATAGTCCAAGAAAGCTATTGGCAGCTTATTGTAACTGGGGCCTTTATGCTTATATAAGGGTATGTCATTGTACTGGCCCGACACCCGACAGGACATTACCACTTATTAACTGCAATGTGTATTAAATATAACAAGTTTTAATACAGTAACTCTTGAGAGGTTAAGTTAGGTAAGGTTTGATTCAGTGAGGTTAGGTGAAGTAAGCTGAGGATTAGGTTTGTTTAAGTCAGGTTAGATGAAATTAGGTTAGGTTAGATTAGGCTAGGCTAGGTACGCTAGGTTTGGTTAGGTTAACACTATCAGTATATGACACATTGCTAACTTTCACAACATCACCCACGATATCCAGCCATTTTTTACACAAACCACGACACATCCAGCAAGCTATGGTAGGAACAGCTCCAGTAAACCAATGGCTACCAACTTTTTCCTAGATTGCTTGAAATTATATTGGATTCTAGACTTGTCATCTAAGGGGGTTAGGTTAATCTCAAAATAAGCTATGGAGAGGGCACACATTCTGGTGATTCGTGTATGTATGGAAAATAAAAAGTTTAAATGTATGGACACAAGAACGCAGCCTACAGTATATGAATAATCCTTGTAAAATGTACTTAACTGAGGCATAAAAGCAGCTCTTGAAATACACTGAGAATCTACCTTAATTACATACGTTCACTTACTACCAAAGACTAGACTGACGTATAGAATCATCCCCCAAGGAAAATAATTACCGAACCTTTGTGAATCAAGATCACTTAACACCAGGCTGGTTAACACTTAACTATTAAGAGACGTTTAAAACCTTCCTACTGCTAAACATCTACCATTTTCAAGTAAATCGAATATCCAGATGACGTGACGCACTGCGAATTCTAACACAAGTTAATATTAAGTTAATGTTTTAAAATAATTAATTGGTACAGACCTTCATGGTAGTGAAGACCAATGCGTCTCCCTGCCTGAAGGTTGGCCATTGTTCTAAAAAGTACCCCGAACATGGCTACAACACCATTATCATCCATTATATAGTTTTGTTTAATCTAAAGGGCACTAAACCTAACTTAACTAAAACTATCCTATCCTAGGGTACTTTCGGATGTGTCAGGATAGATTTATCTATTCGAATATGGCTACGACACCATTATTATTTATTCAATTTATCTTTTAAAATAAAAAACCCTAAACTTAAACTACCTTGACCTAACGTTCCTTGGGTACCTTTCAATAGGTTTAGCAGGTCAGGTCACTTGAGAAATAACTTTGGTTTAGTTCGTGGTGGATTTACTTAACATTGTCCATCCTGCCACCATGTACACATCTTATCTCTCGTCTTGATAACAGTAATAAATCTTTTTCTTATCAAGTAGACGCAATACAATGGTAAAACGCCACTTGTGTATCTGTCACATAGCAAGGAGGTTCAAAGTTGCACTGTTGTTTATTTACGCTTATTCTACGCATCTACTGTGAATATTTAAATCAATTCATCATAACAACCAACTATGTAAATGACGTTACTAAAGGCATACTGTCGATAAGCTGTGATCCTATCTATGCTGATGTCTTTTTGTCGATATAAAAGCTTAGTGTCGACATTCCAAGGCTCAAGTTGTCGAGTGTCATGGATTATGTGATCGACAGTCTCAAGTTAATTAATTCGACATTTCTAATCTTATTATCGTCGACATTTCTAAGTTTTTATGGCAAATGACGTCACCTAAATTCTACTAAACTCCGTATCGATTTTTAAGTAACTACTAATAGAAGTTTATATATGACCGGAATTAAATATTTATACTTTCTGTAGTTGTATAAAATATATGGAAATGACAACGCTAACCTAATCTAACTTACCTAAGCATCAGGTGAAATAAGCTGGGGCTAAGCTTCAAGACAGTGATCCAGAGAAAGCATTAGTACCCATCTTTTTTTTTGTGAAACGAAGCTTTTTACGCAGTACCACATAAATGAAACAAAAGCTTAACTGATTATGTCTGGAAGGTTCTTTAAGTATGACAACACTAAAGAATGTCAATTACCAAGTCGGATCAAGTGAAGAATCGCTTCGCCAAGTTCATAAAACTGTAATACGGACCTGCTAACATAATATATCTAACCTAACCTATTCTAATACCTGTGTAACGCCATTCTAACCTAACCTAACACAGCGGGTAGCATTAGGGTAGTTAATCTTCAAGTGAAAATAGCTTAGTAGTCTTAATCTTTAAATGATCCACTATTTCTAAAGGGAAGTACTGTACCAAAGGCATACTTTACCCTAACGATCAAGGTCATGCAAAATTAATATATAATATAACACAATAAGTGGTGAATCATTGCGAGAAAATAATAAGAATGGGATGTTAATATAAAAAAGATAAACAATGAAAAACAAAGAAAGTAAATTTACCGAATTCTAGGTTATTTTCAGGGCATGACAAAGTTTTATATGACGAAGTTTTAATCTTAATCTTCAGCGAAAATAATAATACTCACGAAAAATATAAATAAAACAGTAACAAATTCAATGAAAAAATTAACAAAATACTCTAGTAATTATGTTACTGTTTTCACAAACAGACCCGAGACACTTATCAACTGACTTTAGCTGTACAGTACGTGGAATGATACTGACCATCAGCCACCAAGAATAACTTTCCTTGGTGAGAAGCACTTCTATGTTCACTTTAAGTTTTCAGGAGAAAAGTGTACATTTGGGATAACAAATACAAGAATCCCATTGTCTGTTGATTGGTTCAGCATGTATATAGACAATGCAGATACACGGTGTATAAAGAATGTTGCTACTTCATTATGAATAAAGAGTTGCCTAATCAATTTATAATTCTTAAAGCCCGGTTCAACAATTGGGTTATTTATTCATAATTTAGCATAACATTTTTGCGTAAATTTTAATTCTATATCAACAGTTATTGGATGGCCAATTTTATCTCAATATTAAACATTTACCCTCTCGTCCCTGATCAGCTCGCTTACCTATTATAGAACCACTTGAAGCCTCAGAACTTCAAACAACAAAGTAATAAACATAACTTCGTCAAAGTGTACCCACACAAATAGCGGTGTGGTTGTTAGCACTTTATTTAGTCACAATTAATACCACATTTCAATTGTGCTAAACTACTGAAAACATTAATTAAGCCCCAAAATAAACTTAAATGACAATTACTTACGACCAAAGGGCCCCGGCGTGAGCCCTGTATGAAGAGTGTGTAGCGGCAGTGTAGGCGATGGTTCCCCTTGTAGTGTCAGTGTGTGTCTGGCACTGCCACAGTGCTCACTGTGCCTTGCTGTGTCCGTGGCTGAGGAGGAACCTGCGCCCTCATCCTCCAAACAACGCGCGCTTTCATGCCACAACCATCAACATTGTCTCTCAAAACTCTTGTTGACTTTGACTTCTCCTTCGAGAGTTGTCAATTTTTCATATATATATAATATACCTATGCATTAATATGTGTAATTTAATAATAAAAATACCTACATTAAACTTTTAATTCTTATATAAAACCTAATTTGTGCCCTTGTTGCAAATAAACTCTATGTGCGTCCCTCTGAAAGAAAATGAGTCCTTAACACACTCCGAACAACGCGCGCTTTCACACCACAACCATAAACATTGTCTCACAAAACTCTAATTGACTTTGACTTCGCCTTCGAATATGTCATATTTCTTTATACGTAGTGCAGTTATTTACAACTTTATAGATATTTATAAAAGCAAAGAACCAAAATATATATATTGAATTTGTCTTAGAAAACATATTTTTATATTTCACGGAAATACATTCCAAAGATATTAATAACACGTTGAAATAAGTTGAACGACGTAACCACGGCAACAGAACTCAACCTGCTACGAATTTATGGCGCGAGTTTATGAAATATCTACAACACTTACCTTGAAGAGATTAACACTATATTTTCGATGAATAGATATATAAACGTTAACAGGGTTTGTAGACTTTCTTGTTCGGTTCGTAGATAATATAATAAAGCCAGTGTCTGAGAAATAGCCACATAGTTATAAATATGATATAGATCTGAAGAACAATTGAAAAACAAACATGTTTAGTCATTGTGAATATATATGAACAGGATTCGATAATATGGAATCAAGAAGGAAATTTCTGTTATTATAGCTAGGGTATTTTTCACTGGATTTAAGGACATACAACTGTAGAGATAAGATAGATCAAATAAGTGTTTTATTTGCTGGGTGAACGTGATTTAAATTACATTTCTAATTAAAGTGTTTTAACTTCCAAAAACTTAGCATTAACTTGTGACACGTTTATAAATGTATGCATTTTTCCATATTTGTTAAGAAAATACTGATATTATATTAAATCAGGGCGAAGATGTACTATTGACCTATATGTTATGTATAAGATAGGATTAGATATGTTATCACACACCGAGATAGTTTGGCGCTAAACAACACGTAACGAGACGAAACTGCTGCCACAACATCATCTCAAACGACTATTAACCTTCCTTGGTCATTGGCTTAGAGAGGATGATTTATGACAGTGTTATTTTTTTAGTAAATAGAGATAATATTAGGTAAGGAGGGGGTGTAGGGTCTGGCTTCCCCATCCCTGCAGCGGCACCCGTTCTCCCCGCTCCCCACCCCAACACGAGCCGCTCCCCGCCATGACGTCACCACCTCCAACAGCCAATCAGCGTCCGCCATTGGGGTGCGCATCATCCGGGACTCGGTGGAATCCCGTGGTCGGGGAGTCGCCATTTTGAGGGTGTCTGAGAAGCTGCAGGGGTACCGGTGCTCGTCTCCAGGACCGCCACAGATTCGCTCATCAGGTGGAAGACGTGTTGTGCGACAGTAGGTGTAGATGGAGGTGTATATAGAGCCGACGCAGGTGCCGCAGGACGCCCTAGCGGCCGCTGCACAGCTAGAGTTAGGGGCAACACCTCAGACCCTAACCATCCGGAGGCCGTTCAATCCCGTGGCCCACGAGTTAGACGCTAACTTCCGACTGACACGGTTCGCGGACCTGAAGGGATGAGGGTGTAAGGTCCCCCAGGAGGTGCTCACACGCCTCCTGGAGGGGCTGCAGGATGATGGTACAGGCCACGAACACGACCATGCGGCGCATTTTATGCATATGCCCATCACTCATATTGGTAAGTCAACAACATGCTATACCACATCACATGTCTGGCCCGGTGTGGTGGCTAGTGTTACATACTCTACCACGAACCTCACATTTACACTTAATTCGACAACTTTAACCTAAACTACTTTAAGTTTCCTTGTTTTAACCGTCATATGGTAGTTGTAGTTACATTAAGACAGGTTTAGTTAGTTAGTATCGCTTGGAACACTTAATGATCAAGCCAGTCATGTTCGTGGAGGTGTCTGGAACACTCACCATGTCTTCTCTCCCCGCCTAACTCAAAACAAACTTCTAATATGTATTGACAAAGTTTATTTTTGCTTCAGCATGACTCGGGTGTACTTTGAGATGGCTCTATTGATGTAGCAGTCATGGTTTGGGACAAATGACCCCAAATATAAACAAACCTTTTTCTCAGTATGTGTGATGTATAGTAAGGTAGTCATGCTGAACCGGGTACCTCTATTATCTACATGCTGAATTATATACCAGCAGGGTCTATAGTACTGTACCTGCTTTATCAATTGTAAACTTAAATTACAATTTTATCGAGTTTACCACCAGTCCACAGTGGTGTGTAGTTGTGTATGTATCCAGTATTATATAAAGGTTACTCCTGCATGTTTCTATAATAGTCTTAACGTGTCACATGAAGATTAGGAACCCGTGGCTATTTCAGCTGATAAATGATTAAATATCCTAATGTTATTTGGTGGGGGTTAGGTTATGAATCATCAGGTGAACTAAGCTGGGGTTTCCTAATGTTCATCAGATCCTACTTAACCCCTATTATCCAGTCAATATTTCCTAAATTCATCTGTACATGGTAACTGGTTTATGAACAAGGAGAAAATTTAATTTATTTAGGAACTGGGGCTAAAGCCATGACTCCAATACCTCTGGCAAATGGAAATAGACAATGCCTGAACTGTCTTAATTTAGTTGGAAGGAACCACTTGTCTTTATTGTTTTACAGCCATTTACTCCTGATTCTATAATATGTTTCAGTAAGATTTGGTTGGTCAGTTGGTTGGATTATCTGTCATTATTGATGTGCCCAGAAAGTACGATGTTACCATAATTGCCACTACATCTTGCCTGTTGTGTGTGGTAAGTTTTGTATTATTGAGAAGTTATCCGGCTCTGTGTTGTTCAAAGGTCAGTTATGGATAGTGTTAATCATTCCCTGGGTGAAGGGTCATGAGCAAGCTTCATCGGTCACTTTTTGTGTATGATTTTGTGAACTGTATAGTACTGTACAGTATATACGTACTATGTATATATGTAAATGTACATACCTGTATAGATATTCCCCAATTTATGAAAGGGTCCAATTTCTGAAAACCTTTTGTAAATCAAAGCACATTTATCCATAAACTTCCATTATAAAAGTGGAGATAGTGTACAGTCAGACCTTAAGTTACTTTTACCTCTTGCTGTGATGGATTTTAAAATGAACACTACCTCTCCTGCCATCTCGGTAGGGCTAGTAAGCGTGATTGCGACATAATTTCCCTTACCCTTGTTTTTGGAAATATTTGAACCTTACAGTATTTCGTAACATGAGTTAAGCTCCAAATAGGTCAAATTCCACTTTTAAAAGTAAAAAAAAATGAAAGTTTTCAAAAGGGAGTGATGGCACATACAATAGTAACATCATTGGAGGTGCATTGCACTCTTGGGAACAACTTGTAAACCCGGCTGGATGGAACTTGACTTGGAGACCCGATGGCACCTATGCCTCGAGGACTAAGCATCGTCATCCAGGCTGAAGGTGCTTATACAAAATTTTAATACAGTATAAATAATATCTGAATATTGTATTGTCTTTGTATCCATGAAATGTGAATTTGTTTCTTTGATTTTTCATTTTTGAATGGACCAAAAGCAAGTCTTTAAAGCTGCCTGATAACATAAGATGCACAATATTTTCATCAGTTGCTGAAATGTCATTTCAACTATTTTCATTTCTTGTTAATAAAATAACACCAATATTTAATACTAGTAATTTAAGCTATCACCAAGAATTTTAAATTTTTGGGTTTTAATAATTTGACTGACAGTAAAAATGAGAAAACGTTGTTGTTATATCAGCTGTATAAGACCCTGTAATAAACATCCAATGAAATACAAGTTCCTCAAATGAATATTATATTAAGTCCACAATGTTCTGAGGATATGCTATTAATTGTCTACATTGTCAAGTTTACAGTACGCTTGATCATTTTATGATGACGGTACAGGTGTTGGCCGTTATACGATGGGGTTAGGGACTTCATAGAGCCATTGTAAGATGATCAATATTAATAACTTGTGGGGGAAATATTTATTTATTTTTTACTCGTTTACATGCACATGCAATATTTCATACAGAATGTGTAGAAAAATGTATATTACTGTCAAAAACATAAAAGCATAAACATTTCTACGTGTGCGGAAGTTATCACACAGAGCGGCAGAGCGGAGTGGGAGTTCTCGGCTGTTCTGACTCGTGTGTAATGACACAATTGGTTTTTTTTCTTTTCTTTTTTTATTCCTCACATTTACTGGTAGAGTATAAATGATTTTGTGTACAAAGAATAGCTTCTTCCATGTGCAAACTGTCCTCTGGGTGACGTGACATTTCAGCTGCTCAGCTTGGCAGTCACCGGAGATGGGCAAAGCCTCCTGCGTGGGTCGCACGTGTTACACCATTCCGAGATTGGTTCATCATATCTTGGAATATTGCGAGTTATTGCACATCACTTTTTCATAGCAGTGACATTGCAGGAAAAACATTCTGGTAGCCATCAGGTAACGACCATTGTAAATCTGATCTTAGCCGTCGCATCGCGGTATTTGGTGTTAATTTCTTAACATCGTAAAACTGATCGATCTTATATCAATCAATGGTATAATGGTCAACACCTGTACACAGAAAAGGAAGTTGTATTATGACAAGTGACAGGAATGGTGTTACTGGTGGAGCCACATATAACCATGTAAGGAAAGCCAGGCTACTAGTGTGTCATATTGTTCAACACCAAAAGGGTAAAAACAATTTATGGTCTGACTGTACAGTCCTAAGACTAAAAGGATTTCCCAGAATGTCTTAAAATAATAGAAAATGCTACTAAACATATCAGCAATTGAAATATTTGGTGTACAGTACTTATCCACAGTGATTGTAAACCAATCATAAACATAAGAAAATAGTGTACATACAATACAGTACAGTGCAGCTGATGTTCCACTCGCCCTTCCTCGTCCATTGCCGGCATTCTCCACACCTCTGAATATTTCTTCATTTCCAGATTCCACACCTTCTCATACAACTCTACACCTTTATTGTGCATAATTAGCATATGAAATTTAAGAACACGGAGTATTTTTCTTTTGTGTAATTTTACACATACATATTATTTGAGAGTAAATGGGGAGTAATTGGACAATTAGACAACTGGTGGAGACAATGTTACTTGTTCCCTGTGAGTTTGTGGAGTAAGTTATACTGTATGGTGATTGTAGGAGAATGATGACACATTGAAAGCTTATTTGTACATTGTGAGTACTGTACAGTATTAGAGAATAATGAAATAAGTAAGCATACTGTACTGGTAGTAAAAAAAGCTTCATTATTTTAGCATATTTATCATTATTACATTTGATTATTATTCAGCTTATTTATGCTGTGCTTAATTAAACATCAGATATTCTTATCCTTACAGTCTACAATGTATGATTATGTTATATCTTATACAGTGTACAATAATGTGTACAGTACAGTATTATTCCTTTTACTGCTGTACTGTATAATGGAGTGACAAGAGGAGTAAAAGTTAACTCTTCCTCAGGAATTGGAATGGATGCGAGTGTTACTCCACTGCGTCATGGTGGCCTTTCCCTTGTCCAGACGACTGACTTCTTCTACCCACTGGTTGATGATCCCTACATGATGGGTAAGTATCCAGGTGGCTCGTACTGTACTGTACCGGGTGTTTACAAATGATTTTTATAATTTTAAATATGAACAATTTAGAAAAGCTGCAAAAAGTAAAGGTACTATATACTAAGAAGATGTCCTCAAAAAGTTTCATTTTCAAGCTATAGAACTTCTATATGAGCTCCTTTTGTGGTTCTGCTGACATGAAAGTAAGAGTCTGTTTCCTTGGCTGACTCATTTGCCTGATCCCCTGTATAAGCCCCAGTCTTCCTCTGGGGCTGTGTCAAGACGTAAGTTTTTGTTCTGACCCCTGAGTAAGGAGACCCCTGGGTTAATTTTCTAGTCTAGTTATTTGACCACCTTATGGAAAATTTACCCTGTCCCATTTACATAGTTATTGTTTATAGAATGTATACATTTCAGGTTTGTACAGTACTGTATATATATTTCCTACTTTTATTTGTAGAATATGCACATTCCATGGATAAACTGGGTAATATAAACGTTTTGCAGATAGCTAAATACAGTATTAGGTTAAGTTATAATAACACAAGTACTGTACAGTGCAGTACTCTGATAACATAAATAATAAATTATCTGTCCACACTGTGTGAAACATTATGAGACCACGGATGATAGATATTGGCACATACATTTACTTTGATGTATAGTTCAACATAGTAATGCAATGTGTATTTATTTTGGCATAATTAATATGATGTTCAGTTACCACATGTAGTAGGATCAGTATGCCACAGAGCCACACATACTAACCCTCCCAGGACCTCATGAGTTGAGAGATACTTTTTTATATCCTGTATACATAGTATTCATGAGATCCCCCAAAATTTTTATGTAGAGCTGTGGACTCTGTGGAGTTTCTTTTTACAGTACATGGAAAATATTTGCTCATTTATGTGTTCTGAAATGTATTGATCTTTCTTGGAGTAAAACACTTGAATTTTTGTACCAAGTGTGTTTGTGCCACAGGTGGTGTGCAGCTGTGAATGTGTTTATTGAGGATGTACAGTATACTGCTTATTGCTTCTTGTTTTTATTTTGTTTCTATTACTATTTAAAATGAGATAAAACAATGTTATCTGTCATACAATAAAAAGCTTTTATATTTATGATTTCCATAAAAGGTTTGGGATAGTAGTGGTGCCATCTCAATACAGGATTTTTTAAAGGGGATTTTCTTTATATACTGTACTGTACAGTATGTGCTTGAATATACTGAATATATGTCCAGTGGGGAAACAGAGGAACAATAAAATGTGAACATAATGTATACAAGTGTAGAAAGTGATAAGGAGATACTTATACAAGTAGAAATGCTCACACATAACTTGTTTATAACCTCAACTTACACAGTACAGTATACAAGACAAGTGGCAGTATTCCCAAGACATTATTAATTACCGTGTGTGCCCATTGAGTCATAAATTATTTCATTCAAGTCTTTTCATGTCACTTGTTTCCTATCACAGTTATCAGGTATTGTATGTGTGTGTGATTTATTTTTCCAGGTAAAATTTCCTGTGCCAATGTGCTTAGTGACCTGTTTGCTATGGGAGTGACGGACTGTGACAATATGTTAATGTTACTGGGAGTGTCGACCAAGATGACAGAGAAGGAGAGAGATGTTGTTATTCCTCTGATGATGAGAGGCTTCAAGGTGAGTTACTCTGTTTTGGGTGGGATTATCGGGCCAATTTTAAAACTTAATAACTTCAGAAATATTATAGGTAGACCTTGTTGGCTTCATTATACTTGACAAACAACTTTATATTGTTTGGTGGACAAATCAGCAACCCCCTTCCCCCACCTGGTAGACTTCTACATGTGTATGTGTAGTATTTTTGAGGTTATTTAATCTTATAATGGGTCATATAATTTCTGGACCACCTTGTATTTAATTGTTAATTGGTTCAAACTAGTAAGGATGCTATGTACATTGTGGGAAAATACACATACACACCAGGGATACAAAACCATTAGCATTAGGCCTCGTACCTGTATGAACTTAATTAGGATCACTTGAAAGTTACACCCAAGCTTATTTCACCTTAAGATTAACCATTCTGACACTAACTTAGCCATCTCAGGTAGCATTAGGGTTTTTAATCATGGGGTTAAATAAGCTGGAGTGGCCAATCATCGTATTATCCTAATTAAGATTAACTATCCTGACACTACCTAACTTCCTCACGTAGCTTTAGAGTTATTAATCAAGGGTTGAAATAACCTGGGATGGTTAATCTTCCTTTTGATTCCTTAATTATTTCTCAAGGGATTAAGGAAACAAGTCTTTTCAATCCCTTTTATTTCCACTTAACAGGACGCTGCTCTAGAAGCCAACACATCGGTAACAGGAGGTCAGACTGTGATGAATCCCTGGTGTACTATTGGAGGTGTTGCCACTACTGTTTGTCAACCCAACGAATTCATTGTGTAAGTTTACTGTTGTACTAAATTATTTATTATCTCAACCTTATTAACCCTCAAATGGCAGCCATCGTCAGTGGGTGTTTCATGTTCCTTGCTTTACATTTTTTAACGTATTGGGGGGGGGGGGGTTGTTAGCATCTGATTAAGGGTTAAATATAAATTGGTTCTTGGGTTGATTTGTAGCCCAAGAAATCCATATGGGTGTAGCTCTGTAGCATTCCAATCTATGACACAAGGGTACTATATCCATTACACTAGATTTTCATGTGTAACAACAATAGATTATTTCTTTACAGTACAGAATATGTGATGAAATGCACATACAGTACACACACACACACACACTGTCCTTTGCTTACAAATGCCACAACTCAAGATGTAAAAATTCGGAATGCAGGAATACAGTTGGCCTGTAAACATCATGGTGGGAAAGGATGTTGTATACTGTATATGTGTTGGCCATACCGCCCTACAGCTGTGTATGAGTAATAGTCCTGTCGCCTCTCCTGCTCCTCCACGAACCCCAAGATTCAGACTCGTGAATTTGAAACATTTATGGACAGAATAATGCATCAGTGTCTGCTGCTTTGGGTTCACGAGTCTGAATCTCCGGGTTCGTGGAGGACTATTGCGACAAGACTATTCCTCGTGACTGTATATTGGCTGAATATTGGGGGTCTTTACTATAGATGAGGGACATATCACTGTAAGTGGTAGGTAGTTACAGAGGGTAATTGATAGTGATTGATAGAGAATTTATATTACCCACTTAAAATCTCTCTTGGCCTTTGGGGTTTTCTTTGTTAAGATGATATACTGTACAGTATTAGATTGTGCTTGAAGTACCTGTATGGTTAACCCCTAAATGGCAGTTGTCATCGTTAATGAAAGTTAACTGAAGGGACGGTGGCCATCATTAATTGAAATTATTTGTTCTTTGTGTTCCGTTTTCGTGCATATGAGGGGAAGCAGGGATGAACTTGGTGTACACAGTGAATAATATGAAGTGTGGAGGCCAAGGTTCACTGTAATGTGAATTCAAGTTGAATATATGAATGAACAGGTGTGCGTGTGTGTTTCTGCTTGTTATCTTAGGAAATCTGTCATTCTGTGCTTTTCTTTGTGCCAGTTGCTCTTATTTCCTCCTTTAAATGGATAGGGCCAACACTAAAGTACAGGAATAAACTCGTGAAAATGGAACACTTTTAATTCTCTGTCCCTCTGCTCTCAGGCCAGATTGTGCTGTGGTTGGGGATGTCCTGGTGCTTACCAAACCTCTTGGAACACAAGTAGCTGTTAATGCACATCAGTGGTTGGACCAGCCTGAGAGATGGAACCGCATCAAGTTGGTGGTGTCTGAGGAGGATGTCCGTAAAGCTTACCAGAGAGCCATGGATTCGATGGCTCGCCTTAATAGAACTGGTATGACTGTTTGTCATCACTGTGTGATCAAAACAATGCATTGATTTTAAAGAATTGTGTTATTTTTACTATTATCAATTAATATAAGGAGTTTGCTAATGTCATTTGAAGACTTATTTCTTTTATAAAATTCCAACTTGTGCTGAGGTAGACAATTATGGTTTGATTTATATTTGAAGAATTAGTGTTAGCATAGTCTGTTGTGTGTGAGTAAAAATAATATTGATGCTGTACAAAGAATCAGATGCAGTTTTCATGGATTTTAAATGGGATTTACTGGTAGTTATCTCCATCAGGGGTTCAGAAGTTTGGGGATTTGGTCAGAGCTTTGAGACCCTTAATTAGTTTTTCCAGCTTACCTTCATAATTGCAAAGAAATGAAAATATTGTTTCATTATTTGTTTGAGAATACAATTGCAGAGTACTAAACTTTGAAGATGTTTATAAAACATGTGTACACAATTGTAAATTCCTACCACATATTATGTTGTGTTGCTATTTAGAGGCGCTTACAGTCTTTTGAAGATGGGTGGATTATATTTTATGGATTATCTTTGTTGACAAGTAATGTAAGGAACTTCAGGTAGAGAATTTTAGGTGTACAGTGACTAAAATTAATGTGGAAATACTTAATAGTAATTTGCTTTTGTTGGAAGTTGCACATGTGTATTAATAGAATTTTTGTTTTCTCAAAGTACTGTAGTTTGTTTTAATAACAGACAGAATATGTTCTTTATTAGTTATCTCACCATATTTTCTTCATTTCAGCTGCTAGGTTAATGCACAAATATAATGCTCACGGTGCTACAGATGTAACAGGCTTTGGTCTTTTGGGCCATGCACAAAACTTGGCCAAGAACCAGAAGAATGAAGTTTCGTTCGTCATCCACAATCTTCCAATTATAGCCAAGATGGCTGCTGTTGCAAAGGCTTGTGGCAACATGTTTCATCTGTTGCAGGTACGTGAGTTCTCAATGGGAGTTAAATTCAGGAATTTTATTTTGGTTGATCCAAGAGTTATTGGTAAAATAATGTTTGACTGGTAACAGTGTTTGCATCATGTAAAAAAAGTACTGTACTGTAGTGGGAATAGGATAATGCAACAACTCATTAGGGGTCGAGAGTGGGACTTTTTTGTTTTGCTTTGTTTTTCTTGGAGAACTTATCTTCAGTTATACAGTAGTACTGTGCAATGGAAATCATTGTATTGCTGTGGTAAGATATTTATCATAGATGTTGGTTTGGCATTTCATACTGTTTACTTTGTTTCAAATCTCATGCAGTTTCTCCTAAGTACTGTACTGTATTGATATAAAATTATAACTACTGTACAGCTAGTACTGTACTTCTTTTAATACATTATTGGCTTATAATCAGTTTAAACCAAAAATTTTCATCAAAAACTTGTTTTGTGGCATTTTAAGATAAGTTTTTCAGGAACAAATTTTTTTTTGGAGATTGAGGAATGCATTTATAATAATTTAAAAGAATCCGAGTACTGTACCTGTAATAAACTAATTTGCTAATATTACTTATTTATTCAGGGACTGAGTGCAGAAACTTCAGGCGGTCTTTTGATCTGCTTACCACGTGAACAAGCTGCAGCTTACTGTAAAGATATTGAAAAGCAAGAGGGTTACCAGGCATGGATCATCGGCATCGTAGAGAAAGGAAATCGTACGGCTCGCATCATTGACAAGCCACGGGTCATTGAAGTTCCAGCAAAAGAAAAAGATGGGGAACTGTGGTAGAACAGTGTTCATCTATATGTTGCTGAGAAATCACCGCTTCATAAGTTTCATTGGATTGGCAGCAGACTTCAATTGAAGTAGTTAAGGTGAGGATGAGGAAATATATACCAAGAAAGGCATTGTTTCATCTCAACTCATTTGGTGATACTAATTTAATGATTTTATACATTGTTCATAACTCGTATGTCAGTTTTATATATTCAGGGGTAGTAAACCACATTAAATCTGTACCTTTTCTTTAGTCTACTGTTTTTAGGACTTTTAGCAATAGACATAAGACTACCACCTATGCATTACGAATAGTTATCATATCTAAAATATTAAAAGGCACATAAACACTTGCAAGCTGTTAATGTAGTTTTGTGTTTTCAACTAAATTTCACTGCCAACTTCTGTTCCACTGAAATGATTTTGTATGAACTGCACCCAATTCAGTGTACACTTGCGTTTCCTCCCCTATCATTTTCCACCACATTTGGATGAGAGATTTGTCCATATCGAAGAATCGGTAGAATGATCAGTGTGCTTAAAACCTAACAACGACATTCCTTATCTTGCTACCGAGGCTCAAAGTTATTATTGTTGCTTTATACCAGAAGATGGTCAACTGCTCAGTAACATAATATACTTCGTTCAAGTTAAACAAGCACACACCTCTAATGGATAATTGTTGACAGTGGCAGCATTAATACTAGAGATGCTTGTCCAAATTGTATAAAAGTGTGTTTTGTTAGACTTGACCTCAGTAAAGACATTAGATGGCTAAAGCAGGAAAGAAAACAAATTATGAAGGTCATTTGTTAAAGTTTTCTTAAAACGGTGAATGACTGGAAGCACCAGCTTTCTCTCTTGCCCCCATTCATCATATGTCACAGCCTTGGGATTCAATAAATTTTTTTCCATTAATCCTGTTTTTATTTTTTCTCCTTTATAGATGTGTTTTGTGGTGCATACAGGTATCGAAGTGTTTATTACCGGAAAAAACAATTGAGATCTCTAAAATATTTCCATACTCAATAGTTCACCGGGTCTGCAAATATTGGAGACTTTTGTAGTCAAGATGAAAATGCACTCCTTGTATTAGACAATTACCATATGTAAAGGTACAGTTGACTCCTCTCCTGCGTTTATCACCAAGTGTTGCCGATCCTCTCAGAGGTGTGAATTCCAAGCATTTGCTAGTGAGAGAAGAGGAGTGGTCTCTTTCTGTGAGGCTGAGGACAGAAAGTGTATATCAGTTGGGAGAGGTTACAATGTAGGATAAAACTTTGACAACACTGTACTGACGGGTTTCTCCAGCCGAGTGTAGTCGTCTAGTGCTAGCCAGATGAAAGTACTTAAGTTACAAAAGGATGAGAAGGGTATAAATTCATGTTCTAGGGAAGGTTTACTTTGCAAAAGGAGGCATTTATGAGCAAATGGCAGTACTGAACAAGAATCCATCCCTTTCTCGTCCTATTGCAATGGTACAGTACTTTCATCTGGCTAGCACTAGACGACTATACTCGGGAAACTCCGTCAGTACAGTGTTGTCAAACTTTTATCCTACATTGTAACCTCTCCCAACTGATATACACTTTGTCCTCACCACCAGGCCCCCCACAGAAAGATACTTACCCTGACACATTCCTCCTTCTCACTAGCAAATCTTTAAATTCAAATTCACACTTCAGAGTTTCTGGGTTCACATCTTGGTGAGAGAGGATTGGTAATACAAGGTGGTAAACTAGGCATGGGCAACTTTTCCTCAGGCAAGAGCTACATTACAATTTAGGTATTTTTCTGTGGGCCTATCCACCAAAATTTATATCCTACCTAACCCAAAAGTAATGTTAATATTGTATTAGCACGGACAGTGAAGTAGTTTATCGTCACGTTCACCTTACGATATTTTCAGTTTACAATCGCAGTCATTTTCCCATTTATGAAACATCCATCATAATTTTTTAAGTACAGGGTACAGTAATATGTTAATGTTTCTTGTCATTTAACAGAAGATGAGTGAAGCAGTGTGAATGTTGATTTTTCCTACAATTACAGCATTTTTCTTGTGAGACACCCACCAGAATAATGCCAATGTTAATCTTGGTATATGAGGAACTACAATGAAACAACCAATAGGCAGAGAGATGTGCCTGTAGTTTGCTTCATTGTAGTTACTCATATGCCAAGATTAACATTGGCATTATTTCTATAGGTAGTAGGCAGCTACCAAACAGGGAGGTACTACCACCTGGGAAGATATTAGAAGCATAATGTGTTGTCTAATGGTAGACCCTGCTGCCATATGGCATCACAAAAATTGTGACCAGTCTCAGGTTGCTGATCTGACTTTCTGCCTCATTTACACACAATTGCAGGGTCTAAATTGTTTCTCTTACTATTGACAACACAACATACATATATTTTTTCTAATTTTTTTTCTTCATTTTTGTACAGTATTTCTTTATTATTAATAATATTAATTTATTTACAAATTTGTATTCTTAATTACATATTTTATTTACTAATTATTATTATTACATTTACAACCCCCAGGCCCTGATGTGGGTCAGTGACCTGTGCCCGGGTTTTGACCAAAAATTAGATTTAGTTGAAAATCTCCGTACAAGTCCTCCTTAGCATGCCGATTCCAAATCTATGGTCCACGATTTGATTGCGAGATAATTAGTGGTTGTAAGGACACTTGGAGTTTATTAAAAAAAAAATTCAATCCTAATTACTCTCAAACTTGGTTTCCGAGTTGCAATTTAGGTGTTTGTGTTATTCTGGAAGTACTTAATTGAACCCTGTGTGACCATCTGTGACCCCACATGGACTTGCCCAACCTTAATTACTTCCCTAGTTACCCACTGCCATACAGCAGCTAATCCATCAAACAGACTGCACTGTAAATTCACAAGTTAAAAATTTTATGTTGTTGACTTTATATACTTTTCACTTACATCTCCGTAGTTACTTTTAGGTGGTGAAATCGTAACAAATTGTGTTTAGATTATTCTTTTAATAAATATAGCTTTACTCACCATAAACTGACTGCAGGCCACATAAAATAGTATTTCTCAAATCACTCCACAGGCTGCGGGTTGCCCATGCTTGCCTCAAACCATGTAGAATTACAACATTAAAAGCAAGATTTGGACAGAGTTTGCAAGTGTCACAGTCCAGAGAACAACAATCTTAGCACAATAAGCTTGAAGACATCTATCAGTAGCTGTAGGCTAGCATAAACTAACTACAGTACTGTACTATGAAACTACCATAATTGTCACTCACAATATTTAAAGGAGAAGCAAATCATTATAGATCATGTGGGAGGTGTTTATTTAAACTTGACATGTGGCCACAGTACATATGCTCTAAATTTCAGGCAACCACTGAATGTTAGGAGTCAACAGAAATGTCTCCTTGAAGCCTCTCGTTGGAATGGATAGGCTTCATCACCACAGAAATGTACATGCAAAAAATTTTTCCTATTAATAATAAATACTTTTAAAACTCTCAATAGTCTCTAACTTAAAAAATACAATTGTCAATAATTATTAACTGTTAAAGATACTAAATATAATTGTTGAAGCTTTAATCTATGTCCACAGATGTTTCTCCTATTGTTAAGTAATAAAGAAGAGAAAAATAAAAGTATATTTCCATGGTATTAAAAGATAATAATAATAATAATAAAAAAGTGGAGGTGATAGGTAAGAATGCACAGTGGTTCTTCATTCTCAAACATAAGGTGTTAAACTCTCAAATTAAAACTTAGCTGCTACCTGTCTCCTCCCCTCCCAATGCCTCTATACACTGGAGTGCTGGCCATCATGCTAGACTTCCTTCACCATAAGGTTTTATAAATGAAATCAAGAATACCTCTCAATAATTGAAGACCCTAAGACTGACCTCTACAATGATGCAGTTTGATGACCAACAATTCAGTGCCTCAGGTAGAACCAAGACCATTTTCTAATCCAATGAGGTATAGCCTGTTCCAGTGGGGTGGGGGGGGGTTGCAGCTGCTCTAGCCATACCAATTGGAAATAACCTAAATTACTAATGAACAACCATTGAACACGGACCATTGGCCTTGGGAATAGCAATACCTCATTGAAAACAATTTTTTTTAAATATTTTAAGCCTTCCATTTGCTATTTGAAGGCACACAATGGACAAAGCTTCAGTTATTTCACCTTCAATCTCCATGTGGACTGGACAGGATGAGGCATTCCACCTGGCTAATCAGTTAAGTTTTAGGAATGGTTTGATATAGACAGGTGAATGCCCATGACCTTCAGTCCCATAACATCACATCGATTTTAGGTATGTTTACATGATACCATAATGTCTTCACCAGGAATATTATGTCTATAATCAGCCTTATTAATTTAATCTATATATACATATTTCTAATCACAATCCTCACAGAGTCAACTGTAACACTCTACTTGGGACACCAATCATAAATCATCATAAGAGGAACAGGCAAAACAATGCTACATCACATTCAGCATATAAGTCTTGATGGGATAAACTATATACAATGGGGAACAGTAGTTATTATACCTGCTTGTATTTGTTATTTTTTTTTACACCATAGCATTCAAAAGGAATTCTGTTAACAAAAATAAAAAGATAGCATGTGAGGCAGCATGTCTTGCCCCACACCTCCACAAAATTTCTTACAAATCCCACTTGGAGGACAAAGCTATTATTGAAAAAACAGGACGACAATCTGTGGAACAGCCGAGTGAATGACCTGAATGCCTCTACAACACACTCATCCATTCTCACGCTAACCACACACTACTCAACAATAAGCTTTATTTTGCTCTCACAGGGCACCACAAATTCTCCCCCATTTATACTCAAGAGTTAAACTTGCAGAAATCCTAGACAGACGCAAAATTTGGACACAATTATATCCCTGGGGATTAAGTCAACCTGGTAATTTTCACAACTGGCAAACTTATGGAATATTCTGGGAGGCTCTTTGTTATTATTAGTTACAACAAGCTTGCATGTAGCCTTGGTAAATCAAAGTCTACTGTTACTAGTGAACCAACCTTGAAAGTTTTTCATACTGGTCTTAAAACTTGGAGAATCTTGAGAATTTTGTGTTTACATGCTGTAACCTTGAAGGGAAGGCATGCCAGGACCGTAGTTAATGTTGTTAGCGTAACCAGCGTTGGAGTAGCCTGGTCCAATCATGCCCGGGCCAGCAGTGATCATAAGCTGAGGCTCACCTGCAAGGGACACACACACCTTTGGAGGTTTCTTTTGGCCACAGATATTTGTGTGATTGTACTAAAAAAATAATATGTCAAACTAAACCAAAGAATAATATAGATATTGTATATATTAAATACAACTTCCATGCCTTCTTATAGCGTAAAATTGACTGAGAATCACTGTGGTACACATTCACTGAATGTGCAGTACCAACAACACAACAAACTGAGTACAAAGAAGGAAAAGCTAAGGATGTTAAGGAAGAAAGTGGCAAGTTCCATTTAACACACAATTGCAGCAGCTGAAGGTTAAGTGTGGTTCAGGCAAAAAAATAAAAATAATGACCAAAGCAAAATGGGTGCAAGAGCTACTCACCAATCATATTCATCATAGGCTTGCTTTCATTAGTCTCATTCTCTTCAGACCTATGCTTCTCCATATCTTCAAGTTTGTTAACCTTTGTGACATACTCTCGCATAACATTTATCAAGTAAGGCATGGCAAAGTCCATGATGTTATGCCTCCATGCCAATTCTAATATTACATCGGGATGGAGAAGGTCGTAACAATGGAACAGGCAAGCGGCAAAGCAGTCAAAGTTGCCGTTTTCCAGGAACCACTGCAGGAGCTCCTCTGCGGTGTCCGAATTCTTGCTTTCGGCTGCATATTCCATGGCATCCTAAAACATTGACATAAGATTGAAATGTGGGTTACACAGTAATATGTACTTCTCAAAATAATTATGGAACTGGATATTAAATTAATTATAAACTACAAACCACAAAACAATAACTTGTTTACGATATAATTCCACACTTTACATCACATAGCTTGAGCAAACTTTTACCTTAAAGAGTTTATCCTTTTTGCAGAGCTCAACAGACTGTTTCCACCTATTGTTGCCTTTGTACAAGTAAGCAGCAATACGACGAAACTCAATCAGATCGTGTTTCTCCAGGGACTGAGCCAGAGATATGTTGTCAAAGTGGTCAAATGCATCAATGGAAGTCCTTAGGCCAGTGTAGTCTTCTTCTTCAATGAGTAAAGAGTTGAGGGCCTCATTGATAGCCTTGTTGTTGAGTGACTGTACTGATCTTAGGTAACCCTTGACCAGTTTCAAATGACTTGCCTGCAAGAAAAATATTAATAGCATACCATTACACTGGATGGAACATTTGACATACAATGTGACAATACAAAGAATTGTTAGGAATACGACATAAGCTACAGTGACTAACCACAGATATTCCTTTAGTTATAAACTAGTGTACAATGTTTAGTTGACATTCATCCACTATAACAAGATATCTCAGGCACACACTACAAACCTTACAGGCCAGCCAGGGGCAACTATTCACTATGCTCGCAGTATCATCACTATGAATTCCAATCTGTCTGTAGGTATAAACTATTCCCAAGTCAAGAACATGCATCCACCAAGATAAACTACTTAAGTATGTTTAAAAGTTTTTAAATGTCTATTACATGCATTTTCTTAACATACCTCATAAGCTTTATAAAAGGATAAAACCTAATGGGATTTGATCTTCCCCTCATTTACCCCAATAACAGCAAGTAGTCCGTGTACTTTACCATTTTTTATAATCCTTCAATAAAACTGACCGCAAGACCATAGGACCTCCAGTATATCCCAAACCCAATTTTCAGCATTTTTAATTTATTTATAAACAAAAAATCTGGATGGTCAACAGGGAAGATTCTAAATACCTTTGTGAAGAAGTTGACCGCTCTGGTGTGGTCCATCCTCGGTGACAAAACTAATAACAAGTCATTTAGAAGCATAGGTTTGTAGTCCAAGTAAAACTGGATGGCTTTATAATACAACTCAATGTTGGCAACCTGAAAAAGATCAGAAAACTCATAAATATACATATATTACAATGCTCTTCGGTGAACAGATTATTCAAAGAAATAATGTTTTAGTTACATTCTGGAAATAAAACTCAACCCATTTCTATCCTGTCAAGTTTATTGGGGTGTTATTGACATGTGCTAAGGAAAAACAAGCTTAATACTCACTTTTGTAATAACATCTTTGAAGTGAGACTCTCGCCAGGCTTCTGTGGGATGAGCCATCATGGTGAGAACTGCATTATCATATTCTTCATATTTGTCATATAAGAATACAAGCTCAGCCCATAGATGTGCTTGCTCTGCTGCACGCAAAACCTGGAGAGAATTTGAAGGTCTATGAATTAACAAATTCATAAAACACGAGTGTACCATCTATATAATTTGATTGAATTTATTTATTTATTTTTAAACCCAAGATGTTTACGTTTGGGTACTGCACGGTAATTCATATTTCACTGTTATTTGTGGGCGATGCAAATTTAAGAATTGTTTGAGCACCTTTAGACCTGATGCACTTAGTTCAAAGTTAAGAGTATGAACATTACTCATGATGTATATCTAATCAACATTTTCTTCACCCGAATCCCCTTACCTTTGGAATGTTAACCCTGGACCAGAAGAGCTCAAGGTGTTCTCGCATCTTCTCAGGCTTGTACTTTGAGTAAAGAATGGCAAGTTCTGTGAACATACCCATGTGTGCACGCTCAAGTCCCAGAGCTGCCTCCAGCAAGTTGATCAGCTCATCAAAATACCCACGGTCCTGGAATAACACAACAGTACATCTTTTAACACCTATTCTTTTCTCTTTTTTCACACCTAACCCAAACTGCTGGAGAAAATTACTTTGCTAAAATCACCAGGAAAATGTTTTTATTCAGCTTTTACTCTCATATAAGTTAAGGAAATATGAGGTGCAGAATACTTCTTAAACCAAGTTACTTTATTGGACAAACGTTTAAAAAATTAAGAACTACAACAACCTTCAGATAAATTCCAACGTCATATTACCTGGTAGTAGTTGATGAGATCCTCCAACTCATCAGCATGAACAACAATATGAAGGCCACAGTTCTGAGCCAAACGAAACTGTTCATTGTCCACACACGCAAAGCAAACTTCTTTCCACGTTCTTGTACTGTTCAGAAATTGCAGTGTCAGTACGGTACACATTTAGCATAATAACATATGGATTCAAATCATGCAAAGGTATTTACAGTACATTAAGAAATACTACAATTCCAGTTTTTCCCAACCCATTACCAGAGAACTACTACTTATCTTCATGAATAAATATCAACACTATCATTAATCCAGTAATGTAGAGTATGGGCTATTGAGCTAAGAGGTATGTCATTTCCTTAGGTACTGTGTGTATATGAAGCAATAATTTAAGTTTTCTCCTCTACATCAAGTACATAAATCCTACTCCCTCTCTCCATGTGCCGTAATGAATCTCTCGCTCACAAATAAGCCACATTTTAACACCATCTACAAAATAAAAGTCTAAACACAAAGGACTTTTGCTCATTAGGTCAGATGTATGCAAACAATCACACTTTGGTGACAATTTCTATAGTTTCCTCAACTCTTCATCAGCAACTAAAGATCCCACCCCCCATATGCACAAAAAATGGAATGCAGGAAACAAAAAATATCCACTGATGATACTGTACCACTTCCATTGATAAGCCAGTTCTTAAAGGTTATTGGGGGATATTACTCACCTGTTGGCTTTCCTGGCAGACTCCACAGCTCCCTGGAACTCCTTCAAGTGAACAAGAGTGATTGCTAGACGGGCAAAGTTACTAACGTTATTGTAGAGGAGTTTTGCCGCATCATACATACCATCGTCAAAGCACCGGTCACCAATCTGTAATGGAGATTACATGATAAAACATTGTGGGAAACATATACTTGGTTCATATACTGTAAAAGGGATTTGCATAATGACTAAACAGTAAATTATCTTAAAAAACAGAATGAGAGAGAGAGAGAGAAAATCCATTACTGTACCAGTGGAGTAAATGCCCTTTATTTGTTTATTGATGTGGTAAATTAATACGATATATACTGTATTTTAAGAACTTCAGTTTGGTTTAGCTTTTAAGTAATAATTCCAGGTCCCTTCCACTTGCAGAGAGCAACAAGAGCTAGATTATCTTTGTGTAAATGTCTTGAGCAATCCTTCCCCAAAATACAAACATGTACTTAATTTCATAACTTTACTACTGAACTCACCACAGTGGCAATTAGCCCTAATAAATTGTGAAGATAAAATAGATGGTTTAAAGGCAAAGGGGTGTGAGAATCCTCCCCCAGCAGGAGTGTGGGGGCAAACATGCCACCAGTTATTTTAGTGTGAGAAGACAGACATATTCATAGTGTCTTACCTTCTGAATATCAGCATGGTTGGGAGCAGCAATAAATTCCTCCAGATCTGCTAGTCTGTTGGTTTTGGAATAGGCATAACAGAGTTCACTCTCAACATACGATTCCCGAGCCTTTTTACGTGCCATAACCAAGTATCGTACCAAATCTTCCCAGTGACCTATGGAAGAAAAGCAAAAGTTTATGTATGTTAACATTAGGCCAATGAAACTTGATGTGCTTATATTATTGTTGACCGAGCGATTACTGTTAGGGCTGAACTTAGGACAAAAGGGACCCATGGCAAAGGTTTACTTTAGGGGCCCTTTTAGTACTTTTATACCTTTTTGTTACTACAGTACTACCCATATCATATACTTTCCTAAAATGTCTTTATATATTTGGCCATGATTATTGTGTTGTTATTATGAAAGATACTCGCCTGTCCTGTGAGCTGTGTCAACGACGTCAATGTAAGCAGTTGGGTCATCTGCCTTTATGAAGGAGTCGATTGCTTCCTTCACCAGGGACTGTTGAAGCTGTGCCTTAGCCAACTGACTCCAAACTGCACTCTCATTGCATCGTTCAGCAAACTCATAGGCTCGGTCAAGGTTGGCTATGTGCTCAATCAGAACCTGAGGTGAAGGGAAATAAATATTAATAAATCAGTTTGAATGAATATAAAAATAAAATTCACGTCTTATAGAGTTCAGAAATTAAAATATTACTAATACACCTACTGAAATGTTTACAAGATGTCTTAGTGGCCAGACAAAAAGTCCCTGGCTTTTCCAGGTGTAAATTAAAAAAATTCCAGGTACATTAATTCGGTATTTATTAAGACAGAATAACAAAACTAGAGGTTTTCAGTTTATGTATATGTTGGGCTCAGAAACCAAAAAGCGACCACAACGTGTTGTGGTGGTTGTCAAAATAACCAGAAAGTGAAATTTTGCATTTGGATTTTACCCTAACCTAACCCAATCCAAACTAACTTAACCTGTAGCAAAATCTCACTTTTGGTTATTTTCCTAACAACCACAATGTGTTGTGGTTTTTTTCGGTTTCTGAGCCCAACATATATACTACTGGGAAATGTAAAGATACAAATTATATTAATCAAGAATTTGAAAACCCCCTTTGCGACCTACCCCATGCCTAGTGATAAACATCAGCAAAGACCTTGACCTTCCCCCATAATTTTTTTCCTCGGATTTGTGTGATTCATGTGGGTCAACCTGGACATTCCAAAAAGCCGGAAATCCGACAAAAACAAAAACAAAAATTGCACCTCTGATCCACCTATATGACTCATGATTAATATGTGGAATAATCTACTTTAATAAAGTCACTTGATTATAATAACAATTCATCTCTGACAATAATTATTGCAGAATTAGCAGGTATAACCTGTAATATTTGGCTATTTGATCACTAACATGAAGTATGATAGGTATTGGAGTGAACTATTTACTGGAATTTGTTCCTAAAAGTTGAATTATTTACCTATTATACAGTACAGCATTAATTTATGGTAAGATTGCCGTCAAAATAACAACATTTTGAAGTTGAACAGAATTCACAAAAAATTCCCTGCCTTTTCCAGGTTTTCCAGACCAGTAGACACCATGGTTAAGTTTTCAAATTATTGACACGCATAAACCATGAGTGGTACAAAGTTTTAAAATGTGACACCTTTCTTGACATCCACAATAAATTTAACCTACAAAAAAAGAAAAAAAAAGTCCTATAAGTGGACAAATGCTTTATAAAATGCGACTTATAAACAGTTTTGGGCCCTAAATGGTACCTTACCTGTATGGCTGAGGTGTTCACGTCAAACTTCTTGAATATAGCAAAAGCTTCTTCATACAACTGGTTACCGATGGCAATGTTGGCAATGTCTGGAGCATCATAGTTGTCGAGGCGGGTGATGTAGTCCATGACGCGGGTGTGGTCTGCCTTTATGGCCGTTAGGATTAGTAGATTCTGAAGATTCCTGTGATAAGAAAATAATGTCAAGTCTGTATGTTTTGAAAAAGAGTGAAAGAAAACAGCAGTCAGTACTCCTTTCGTCTGCCTCCAAAATCAATGTATTTCTTCAACTATGCTTCCTGGCAGTTCTTTACCTCCATTCATTTCTTAATCCATCTGTTATGTATGTCATGTTTCTTGGAAAAAATAATCATAAAAAAATACAGTATCTGAGCTTAAATGAAGAAAGGATAAAACACAGCTGCCTTTCTTCCTGAACCGACAAGCAAAAACAAATGAGGTACTCTGGGTGAGAAGTAGATGTTTTGGTATTTTGTTGGACAAGAGGAAAGTCTGAAGATCATAAACACATCTCAAGCCTCCTCACTGCTCATCTTGTTCTTGCCCGGAGTACCTCAGACACTGTCAACTCACCTGTGGTCACTAAAAGCAGAATTGTCCAGAACAATTTTCTCCAAGAGTTCAATGAGTTCATTAGGTAAGTCAGCAGTCATGAAGGCTTTCACAGTAACTGATATATCCTCTGGGTCCTGAGTCTCTGATAATGCTGTTTGTACAACCTGAAATAAATCAAAACCTGGTAATTTTTGGGGGAAAACACACAAAACAACCTTTCATATTTGACTAAACCCAAGCACACTAAAAGAATACCAAAATTAGTGTATCCCTTTCATCAAGAGGCACAAATTTACCACTAGATTAACCCAAGTTACTAATGCTATGGAAACAATACACAACTCTATATACAAACATTTTGTAGTAGTAATTTTTTAATGTCATCCTTCCCACCTACTGTAAGCCCAATGTGAGATGGTAATACCTTGTAATGTGGAGAATTATTTTGTACACTTAACAGACAATACAAAGAGTGCAGCCTTTGATTAGTTTTCCATTAAACCATAATTTTAACTGTACAGGTGTATGTGTACGATTTATCTAAGGATGATGACCCTAGTCCCCTTATTTGATCATTGTCCCTGTTAAGTTTCAAGAAAATTCAACCTCATCCCCTCGAGATTTATCCTGTCACACAAAAGGAGGCCCATGGAAGATGCAGTGATATACAAAATTTCAAAATATTCTGAAAATGCATTAGGAGAGAGATAAAATATATTACAAAATGCTCAATTGTGATCATCACACCTGGTCAATTAGTTGTCTCCTGTATTGATTAGACTCCTGGAGGACTTCAGCCCAAAGTTCAGGGTCTCTTCGCCTCACAAGGTATCTTGCTTCGGACTTGAAGAGGGAGTTCTCGTTGCAAACATTGATCAATTCTCTGTCACACTGGCCGCGCTCATATGCAATACAAGCAAGGTGGGGGTCTCGCTTCTCACAATATTTCCCTGGAAGCAAAACAATATGTTAGGAAGATGGAGAAAATTAGACAAATACAGTGCAGAAACTTTACAATCTTTCCATCAACTCCTCTCTTATGAGGAGGATCAGGGGGTACATAAGCCTGAAGCATGTGGGAGAACAATGTCAGATAAGTGTAAAAAGTGATAGGCCAACATGCAGAAATACCTCCAAACACTTGTTCATGTCGTTATCCCCTCCATTTACGGGTTAAGAAAACACTTACCGACAACTTTACTGTCGTAGTTCTGGTTCTCACGCAAGAATCTCTCTGGGTTGTTGTTTGAATCTATGTAAATTTTAGCGATAGCGTCATGGGTGGCTGACTCCGAAACTCCCTCGTGGATACGGGACTCAAGCCACGTCAGCAGCAGCTTCAGGCGGTTCCTCTTCTCAACCTGAAACATACGATATTAGATGTATTTATATGGTCAAAAAGGTAGATAAAATAGTTTGATGTAAATAAATTTGAGGCTTAATGAAAAACAAAGGGAGAGGGGAGGACATGGGATGTTCTTGAAGTAGTTATATGGAGGTGCTCAGAAAATATACATGTTTCTGCAACATATGGAGGAGACCAGACTGTCATTTCAACATTAAATTCAGAATGAGACTAACATTAAATTTTGGTTCAGCTTTTACCAGCCACAACTGTCCCAAGAGTTATAAGAATAAACACAAGAGTCACTGGGTTTTATCTGGTGACCCAGTACAGTACTAGAGTGGGAGAGACCATGGCTGAGGGAAGGAGGACTGGGGGCAGGCTTAATGTTACCATGAACACAGAACTTACTTCTTCCACCAACTCATCCGTTGAGAATTGTCCACGAACAACCATGATCAGCTGCTTTATCACATCTTCTGCACAGTCTACATCAAGCAGACCTCCAACAACAACAGGTAGACGTGATGGATTCACCTTTGGTAAAAAAGTAAAAAAACTTTAGACAACAATTCAGAGCAAATCCTCAAGTTAATACCAATTCAGAGTATTTTTTTATTTTTCAATTATGTGGAAACACTAAAAATTCTCATTGAGAGCAAGAATTCCAGGTAAAATGGTTGGGAATATTCTCTTAAGCCATTCTGATCTTATTTTGATAGCATAAGGCCCACGAAAAATAACACCAACAAGTACAATATATAATGTATACTAATATGGACTCAAACTGCTTCTGACAAACAGGCTTTTACTTGGATGAAAGGGGGGGGGGGAGAAGAGAGTGGGTAAAGGCGAGGGAAGAAAGAAAAAAGAGAGAAGGGATCCGTACCTTCTGCACATATATCTCGATGTATTTTTGCAAGTTATTGCGGTAGAGGTAGAGCACCAGGTCATGGACAAAGTCAAATCGGTCACACACAATGATCAGAGGCAGCTGGTCAGTCAGTTTGGCCTCCTTCAGGAAGTTCTTCACACGCTCAGGGTTGTAACAGTTGGACTCCCGGCATATTCTCTCAACCTGTGGGAGGAATTGTCATTCGTTTAACACAAAACAGTCTGAAAACCAACAGACGACCTCAGGTATATCATCTAAGCCAGGGGATCCCAAGCATTTTTCAGTGCGACCCTATCTAATGCTGCCACCTATATGAGGATACTTAGAATAAACACGGATATATTTTTATACAAATTTAACTAAATGCAGACAAGGAACTGTATTACGTTATTGAGAAATCTAAAAGTAAACACTGGCAGAAGCAGCCTACAACTCTGACATGTTTATATCATCAGTGAATGTTTTATAACTGGGGGTATAATTTACATGGTTAAATAACATAACATAGCTCTGAGTTATAACTCATATTTTGTATATACCATGTGTGCATCACCATTCAAAACTTGTGTATTATTATTTAATACATTTTATATTAACTACTTCCATAATAACACCTATACAGTAATTGGCAAGTAATTAGCATTGAAAAAAATTTCATTAAGAATTTGCAAGTGTCATTACAACCACTATTTACCCTGCAATCGAACCGTGAACCATGTATTCAGAATCGACATGCTCAGGAGTACCAACACGTACTGAAATTTTGATAAAAATCCCAGAGATGATATTTTGGGAAGAATAACAGCCAAAACGTTGAGCCTAATGCCTTAAGAATATGTTGACCAAAATATAGCTTGTTTGCTTACACACAATTATCAGTTTTCTTTGATAGCCATTTCAATTTGTTGATGTTTGAACAAGATGTTTAACAGGATGGTACGATAACATTTTAATGTTTGGCCACTCACCTTTTGTCTATGAAAACTAATATAGTACAGTATACTGTTACAGTTTGTGACAACTATACTCACACTGGTTGTTTACATGACTTACCTCCTTAATCTGTCCAGTTTTACATGCTGCCTGGATGTACTTGAAGTGAACTTCAGGTTCTTGTGAAAAGTTGACAATAGACCCCAGGAAATAGAAGAGACCCTCAAAAGACTTGAAAGACTCGAAGAGATCAATCAGTGCATTTGTTGTCAGCTGCTCGTGGTACTTGGTAGCAATCTGTAATGGCAAGGAAGATACATTGTGAGTTGCCCACAAGCATATACAGTACAAGATGTCAGCGCACACAATACTGTAGTCTCATATTGCACACCATAATGTAGTGTCTCACATCACACACCATACTGTCCAGTGTCTCAGATCACACCATACTGTCCAGTGTCTCAGATCACAAACCATACTGTACAAGTACAGTGTCTCAGACTACACACCATACTGTACAGTGTCTCAGATCACACACCATACTGTACTGTGTCTCAGATCACACACCATACTGTAGAGGGCATCTCATAAGTTACCTACCAATCTTTTATATAGTAGTGTGTGTCAGATTTCACACCATACTGTACTAGGCCTCTCATAGGCGATGCACCATATTATACTGGGTGTCTCATACGTCACCTACCACCTTGTACCGTGTCTCGTAAGTTGCACACCATAGGGATATAACTTTCTTTTTTCAAGTTGATCATAAAACAATAAACGAGAGTCAGTTTAGGATTTGTGTAGGGAAAGCCAGATGCTACACCCCCATCAGTTGCAACAAAATTATAACCAACAACTAAGCACATATGAGCATTGTTGTTTAAATTTCTTTTGAATATGTGACAGCTAATGTCCTGTACATAAATATTAAATTGGCTATTTTCTCTACTGTTAATCACTGCCATCTTTGTTGATGTGTTATGATCCACTTGCTTGAATATAAAAAACATTTATTTTACCATGGTGCTCAACCTACAAGACACACAATACAATACACGTTTGACTCAAGTTTCATAATGATCTCTACAAAAATTCTCTCAAAAAATTAGAAACAACCAAGAAGATAAGTTTCAGCACTTGCCTGAACCACAATTTGGAGATTTTGGCGGAGATTAGCCGTAAGCATCGCCTTCAAGCACTCTAAAGAATCCTCGACAGATAAGGAGCCAAAGTAATTCACCAGCCACTCTGGGTTGAGTAACTGTGTGTGAACTACGGCCCTCTTGATGTCGTACATGTCTGTGTAGTGTTCCAAGGCACGCTGCAGTAGACCCGCCTTCTCGCACAGCTGGGCAATGTGTGCTCGGTCATAGTGGGTGAACATCTGGTTACCGAGAATGGCGTCTGCTACCTGTGGAGCAGACATGAGGTTCATCTCCAGCAGGCGGGTCTGCAGTGGTCCTTCGGTGGGGCGATTGTTCTTCAGGGCATCCAACAAGAAGGCAGTACACTGCTGAATCAAGTTGGACTCTAAGAAAATGTCCACGATTTGGTTGACGTCGGCCATTGGCTCGTCGTCCTGCACCAACATTTGAGCGAATGCAAGACCTTGATCCGGATTAACACGCATCACATTTCTTAACAAGAACACATAGTCAGGGGTGTAACCAACTTTCTTAGCATAAAGCACAATCTTCTGGAACTGACCAGTTTCAGCAAAGCACTGAATCACCTTGTTTGGTACATTTGCCCTCAGGTACACAGAAAGGGCCAGAGTAGGGTCTGCCTGTTTCACAAGATCACCGAGCTCCTCCGAACACTCCAACTTATCTTCCTTTAGCCACTTTTCAAGCAAATTCTTACGACCTTGCGCCAACACGGGTCTGCACAGTTCTAGGGATTCAAACTTATTTAGGTGAGACTGATCTAGAAGAATGCCAAAGTACTGCAGTAGTGGTGATGTCTGCCCGGGCTGAGCAGGCACTTGTTGGAATCTCTGGATAGTCTGAGGAGTGCGTAGAACACCTTTAGGGGCATTGGCAGCTACTTTGGCTGCTTCGCTATACTGCCCATTCTGTGGAGTGAGAGAGAGAGAGATGAACAGTCGGAAATAACAATACTGTGTGAACTTTATTCCCAAATGTCTCTAAGTGGTGCTTCATGGTTGTAAGAGAGGAACAAGTTAACTGGAATACTGAAGGGTCTTATTGTGGAGAGGGAACACAAAGTGGACAAGTTTATAAGGCAGTCAAAAACAATGACTGACAATTTGACAGTGAATTGAGTGTATGATGGAAAGTATGATGTTCTTGATCTTAACTATCCTTCACTGTAGCGAGAAAGATCTACAAAAAATCACAAGCACTAACCTGGAAAAGTGTGTTGAATTTGCGTACAAACAGATCTTCTGCTCCAGCAAGGTTGTTCCTGGTCGCAATCCTCAGTGCCAGGTCAGGGTTTTGCAACACATTATTGATGTAGGGAATGATGTTCTCCTCATCAACACTTACGCTCAGTACCTTCAAAAGAATGCACAATAAATTCATTACAATTGTTAACTCAACATCTGGTAAAGACTGGCATAATACAATCATGCTGCCTACAAAACGAACTACTTGTACCATCCCAGGAAAAGTATCTAATTTGTGACATACTCCCTCACATAAAGTACTGTACATGTGAAATTACAAAGCATTAGTTTACCATTCATTCTTCACTGTTGAACAATTTTATAATTTCACTGAAAGTAAACGGCATCTTGCACCCAATTCTGTGCTCAAATAGTCATCGTCTCATTTACACAATATTACCCAACCTACTGAGATAAATACTATACAGTACTAAGTTTCTGCATGCTTCATTCTCCCCCAAATTTCCTCAAGTGAATACAAAATAACCTAAATTCACATCAGTCATCAAAACCCTTCAAGAGAACAAACTGTCAACTATTTCAGCAAGAAATGCTTTTTTCTTTAATGAAAGGAATGCAGGATATACCGGTAATTTACTCCACATCAGATAATAGATTGTTACTTATCAGTGTTTTTATAGATATCTGATTCAGTAAAATTGCCAATGGGATAAACTTGCTTCCAATCACACTTTTGGACAATTGGTGCGCCACGAGGGAAGTCAAACTGCAACGAAGGTCTGAAAATGGCAAAAGTTTGGCCTAGTGTACCAGCTTCCTTGCCCAGCAGCTGAGGATTCCCCATTCTCACCTCCATATACATAACAATGGAAGACGAGGAACATGAAACTTCCACCAATGATGGTTGCATCCCAACTGCTAACTTACACTAATGACTACTGTTAAGAGACCTTCAGCTATAAATTCAATCTTAAGATAGCTAAATGATCTTAATTAACAAAATAGTGAATGCCCAGACACCTTACCTGTCCCTTACGGTTAACCCCAATAATGCCACTGGAGGGTTCATGGGGAGCTGTGACAAAAATGGTGTCTCCACTGATACGGTTCATGAAGATGCAAGTTCCACTCTCGATGTCATAAAGGTGGACATATCCATACTTTGTGATCAGGTAGATGACATCATGCTTCGAACTAACCTGCAAATTAAGGTAAATTTAACCTATTATAAATTTTCTTGCCACCTTGGTGCCTAATATAATTTTCACAACAACATCTTGCATAAAAATGATATACAGCACTCCTGTTTAAATACAGTATTATATTTTAACTGTGTTTGATGTTTAAGTTTTGTAAAGAAGAAATTATATGTATTGGTTATCATCTTAAACCATTGCACATACTATATATTCACTGTCAGAGCAAAAACCTACAATGAGATGTCTCGGGATTAGATAAAATATTAACATCAAGCACTGACCTGCATAGCCACGGGGAAATCATTCTGTGCCTCTGGTGGGAAAAACACGTCTACATTCTTTTTAGTAAAAGGCTGGTTACCAGCTGCTGGCTGTCCAACTTCAATGATATGCAGCTTTCCTCCTTGAGCATTGCGCACAGCAAAACAGAACAATGTGGAATGTTCTGCGTTACCTTCCATCTGTTGAATAAAAATACAAATGACTTTTCAGATTAAAAAAGAAGTGCATTAGAATTATTTAAGAGTAGCTACAGGAGACAGACAAATCAACATTCTTTAATAGATGGAAATGAAAAGGTGTGATTTTCAATAACAGAGAATTCTTCATTTTCTTGTAACATAAAATAGACCGTTCTGCCAAAAAAACTTATTTACAATTTGCCTGCCATCCATTTAAAAATGAGAATGGGTTGTGTATGATACATTTCTCAATACCAACTTAAGAAGTGTGTGTGCACATGCAAAGGCCATATGTCTCACCTTGAAAGTTGTAAAGCCAGCAGCGTGGCCCTCAATGGGTTGGCTGGCTTTCCTGTCTATACTGTACAGCTGCATGAAGCCCACCACACGATTCTGCTGTGCCGAGATACCAATAAGCAACAGCCAATTCTGCTTTGAATCTGTGCGGTAGTTTATAATTTGACAACCGTTCAAGCTGCTATGGCGATCAAACATCTTCAGTGGCTGAGCATCTCCTGAATAATGAAAACAGAAAAAATTATTAAAATCCACAAAAATACCATGAAAACACTAATTTAGTTTGTAGAGGTTAACTGCAATAGTACTCTAACATAATATTGGTGGCATTAATGGCTTTTCATGTCACTTATTAGACAGGGAAGAGGGGAGGCTAAGTAAGGGAGCGAGATAATGGCGAGTGGCATAGAAGTGTGGGGCGTGAGTAACTGGGTTCTAAACTCCCAGAGAAATCAGGTTATTATGTCCCACACCATGATGGGGAAATTCTGGGATTACATGCCTTATCATCACATGACCCAAATACCGATTATCACACACACTTCTAAAATCTTGTTGGTTCACATCACAAATAGTTCCACAAAAACACTTTCTTGATGAACTGTTTATAAGATACCTGGAAGAAAGGACAGATAGTACAGTATTATTCAACCTTGACAATACATTCTGTCTACCGTGAAATTTCAAAGTAGTTGTGAAGTCTTCTCTCTACAGCTTGTGTTGGCCATCCTGCCCCATTGCATGGAAAATGACCATAAAACAGGGATGACATGAAGATGATACCTGAAAAATGTCAACACCCAGAATAACTTACCGTCCATACTCCAGTGGTAAACTGCAGTTTCTGTCACTAATGCCAGCTTGTTGGTGGAGATCCACTTCCAGAATTGTATTTCCGTGTCCATTGTGTGTGCTGCAAGATAAGCCACAATGTACACCGTTAATTGTTTTTGTTTTTTAATTAAACCTTAACCTTGATACGTGCTCAATGGACTTAAATATGTACAGTACTAGTTATCATAGTGTAATAAAAATCTAAACTATTTTGTCTTGGCAATATGACTGGATGATTGTAAATAGGTGTTTCAGTGAATGTTGAGGCAGAAGAGGCTAAGGATCATAGGTCCACGGTTTAACTACTATAAATCAATAAACCCACACGTCAAACTACAGCACCAGTGATATGCCGTTAGCCATAAATGTTTATCTATTTCATGCTATAATCAACCATCAACACATACTTTACACCACAATTAACTCTGGTCAATGTATCAACACTTACTATACTCACCTTTGATTTTAGTTTTCATTTCAATGTTGAAAATCTGTAGTGTCTTCTGAGCTGAAAAAAAAATAAATTGTATTAAACTGTGAACAAGTCCTAAGTAAATACCTAATACAGTAGTAATAATGTAATACTTTTAACCTGTCCTACACACATACTTTTACACAACCTTTCCCATGAGCAGCAGCCTATCCTCATTCACAATTGCATTATCAGATGTACTCTTAATATGGCATTCCGTCCATACCAATGTCCAAGATGTCAATCTGGTTTACTCATGTCAACACACATCACTCCAGCAACACTGGACATACATGTATGAGTAAATATCAAATAAACAAAGGTAGTGACTGGAGATTACAAGTGACTCCGCACATAAACCATTAATACTCATTTCTGAAAGAGTTCAAAAGGGCTCGTTTAAACAAATTACTCAATGACGTCAGTTTTTCTGTGTAGTAATATTAGTTAAATCTAATCAAGCTAGGTTAAGATACTACATAAACAAAAATGTATCACAGACAGGAGAGGAGAGAAAAAGGATCAACTGACAGAAATAGAGCCCCCTTGTTATATTCCTCCACTCCCCTACAGGTGGGGAATTAATATTATGCCCCGCTTGTCCACATAAATTAACAAAGATTATCACATTAAACGCATCAACTCGACACACTGTAAGAAACATCATATAAATGCCATACTAACTAGTTTTATTTTCCCCCATGAAGTCTTTTCCCATGACTCAGGATGGCCAAGACCATGAACAACAAAACTCCTTCATACATTAACATTCACTCATTCTTCGCTGATTAAATACACATTTACATATGGTGTTCTTCATCCACCAAAAGACCTAAGATGCTCTATTTCATACACCCTCTGTCACTTCAACTATCACATCAGCTCTAGAACAACAACACTCTCACCTATTTACCTTTAAGAGCAATTACTTTCGACGCTGGATTCATGATGGCCGAGTCTCCAGAGATGGGGCGTCGGATAGGGTTGGTTGGGTCGCCCATGTCAATGATCACTACCTGTGCGGTCTCCCCCACCTTTTCACGGACACAGATGAACTTGTCCGATTCCATGGTGAGGGTGTTGAACCCAATGTTGGATGCCTGAATCCCAACATTGGTGAGCTGAAACACAACAATTTCAATATAAGATTCTACATATTACAAAGTATAAGATATTTACTGCTGCATTCCTTCAATAAACTTTTACATTCACATTTAAAAATGCATAGAGAATTGTGATAGCTTGCCAACAATAAATGAACTAGTTTAACATTTGCTTTATATAAAGTACTGTATCTATTTTACCACAGAAACACCTTGAAACTTCTCTTTCCCACACACTCTCCATAACCTGATTCGTGAGACATTACCAGTCCCAATTACTTTCACAATTTATAATAAAACAATTTCCTGGAAATCATCTTTTCTTAATATGAACTAAATCCATTGAAATGTTAAGAAAATACCTCTGGTATATGCATCCTCAAAAAAATTATCTTCACTATTTTGTGAGTCAACACACATTAAGCAAATGGACTGGCTTAGCCTTGGTATATTATATTATTAGATGGTTGGTGGTGAGTTCCATACACACTACAGGGCAATGATGTCCCAGCTATGTGCAGTGGGTTCAGAGTCCATGGTGCTATCCAACAAGCCGTACAGTATACCACTTTTCCTTCTTCTGTTAAACCAATTACAGGTCACCCTGTATATTTAAGCCTCTCTCTGTCCATGTAATCCAGTTGCCTCTGAAGATGTCTTGAATAAAGACGAAAGCTAAGGTACTCCGTTGTTTCCATTTTCCCGTGTGATTTTATCAAGATTTATCTTATCCATGTTTTCATTGTGGATTTACATGAAATGATGCATGCTCTTAGTTTCTGATTAGTTAAAACAATATAGTACTAACCTACTCTAACCTAACCCCCTCAAGGAAACAATTGGATGCTTAATCACCATGTGAAATATTCTGGGTGGCATATCTTCACATGATCACAATAAATAAATCATTAAGTCAATAAATAAAAAAATGAAGTAAAGTCACAACCCGGTAGTTTATTCACTATAAAGTGCTTCATTTATTTGATCAATAAAGCCTAATATTCTTAGACTGTATAAAGTCATTGATCTTCACTTGCAAACGATTTTGAGAAGTAAACCAGTTTTATATCTCCACAGAAGCACAGAGTTCCTATCTACAATGTTTCTCGGGGAAGGCACATGTTTAGCCATTGATAACACCAAACACGAATCACTAAAACTTTATTTTACTAGCTATGTTAGCGTCAGTATTAGGTTAGATAAATTATTCAAGGTCTCGGTAAATTCAAGGTAATTTTTTTCTGCAGTTCCAACACCGGATACACCCATGACCAATAGCCAATGCTCTATATACAAAACTCCACTAGCTGTTATTGTTCAATTTTATCCTCACAGTACAGTATACAGGATACCCACACTAAGCTCTCTAGACATACCCACACTAAGCTCTCTAGACATAACTATATTAAGAGACATACAATACAGGTATAGGCAGTATACAGTATTCCTTAAGTATAAAACTTTCCATGTTCTACCTGTACGGCACAGTAGTGGTGGTAACAATTATATTAAAAACGATTTTAGTAAACCATCTTTAGTTTTAACATATCCCAATTTGGAAGTGACCATTATGACAGATCAATGTGTAAATTTAAAAAAAATAAACACATTAGATGCACACCTGTTCTATGTTAGGTTGTCAATACTGTACACTATCAAGATCACAGCATTGCCGTCTTCAGCTTGCTCAATGCACTTAAGAAAATATGACACCACCAGCAGGGTTCTCTATACTTTGCACACAGTAAAATTAACCAACAGCAAAGTCATAAATAGTATTCTACTCCTCCATTCATGAGCAAAACTTTGTACTATACTGTACATAACTCGGATCAAAAAGGATTAAACATGTCTCGACCAATAGTCCCTAAACTGCTTCATCACCACTACTACCACACCACACAGCCAGGCCAAGTTTTCACAATACACCACCAACCAGCTCATTACAGTCTAGTACTGACAAGTGTTATGAAACCAGCTGTTGACGTGGCCACACAGACACCGAGATAGTAGCTAATATACGTAGTAACATTTTCTTGTGTACTACTTCACCTTCATCACTACAGTACTCTAAATAATAAATATTATCCAGTCTCCTACGTAATCTTGGCTCTTGCTGTACTCTCGGATCACGTGAAGATTCCCTTAGGTTCCCCAGTACATTTCCCTGACAATTAAAGTTGTGAGAGAAAACAACCTCGACCAGAATGACCTCCCGAACCACAACAGCTTTACCACTCTAACCTAACCACTAGTTAATATTGGGTTGTTCTGATGATGGTTATTTGGGCCTTAATGTGGGGCCATTTTCTCCTGTTACCTCATTAAACACCATAAAGCTAACCTAACATTACCCCAACAGAATCTAGCCCAATTAGGGTGTCTATCATTAGGTGAAAAACGCTGTGGTGTCTAAGCTTCACATGCTTCAAACTTTCCCCATCCCAAGAAGCAACGTGCGAGGTGAAGGGGTGTATGCAAATCAGTCGACCTTTCTGTACATAATACCGATTAGACACGACCTCCACCATTCACCCGCCTTCTTAATAGGATCTAAAATTACTAAGCAATGCATTTACGGTCTACTGATTATTATCATTACTGTATACTCCTATTTTTGGCTCCACAACCCCCATTGTCTTCTCTAAGGGGACCAGGACAATAACACGAGGGGATAACTCAACTGCTGGGTGGTATATTACTGTATACTAAGCACCTACCCAGTATATAATGAGATATATATACTGTATTGTTTATTACCATTCACCTTCCCAGCATGTCCTGATTACATAAGGATTAGACACCCCAGCTTATTTCACCTTTAAGATCTACCACCGTAATGCTAACCTAACCTAATTCTTCTAAGTACTGTAACATTTCAGGGATATAAAAGTATTTAATGACCTTTCTGAATATTATTGAAACCATTTATCAACACTTGTTCCAAAATTATATAGACCAAAATTTCTTGCTCTCATTCTCAGTTCTAAGGTTGCGGTCACACGAGCGCTTTTATGAGCAATTTCTTACCTGAAAGTTATTTCCAGCAATTTTTCTGGATGACTGTGATCATCAATTTCTTGCCGATTTCGAGCAAGATTCCCGGGTCAAAACATGACTAATACTATATATTTAATAACACGAGGCTTAGTTATAAAATATTTACATATATAACATAGGTTAATAACATTATGTATAAAATGCACCAACAGTTTTGTTACGACACATTGACTTTATAATTTGGGTGCTGTTTTGACGTATATGTTTATATAACACAAGCGCGCGCAGCTGTTCACATACGTACAGCCTGTGATAGTCAAACCAGTCTACAACACACACATTCAGTCCTCCACCTCACCAGCCACATACAAGTCCACAATAATTTTTTTTCTTGGATCTCTCTCTTTTCTTTTTAATAATAACAAGACTACCACAGTTGACTGATGTTATGTTGTCTCCCATTTATTCACACAGCAGCACTTTTTTCTTTTTTGCTGTAGAAACTGAATCAAGAACTACCTGTGACCACATTTGGAAGAGAATGATTGTACTTTCTTGCTGCAAATTAATTGTTTATATACCGAAGTGTTCCTGTGACCTTGGTTTAAATACACTATTGGATCACTTGAAGGTTAGCCCCTCTCCCCCCAACTTATTTCACCTTAAGATTAACCACCCTAACACTAACCCCCTTCAGGCAATATTGTAGTGTTTAATCATCTGGTGTGATAAGTTATCTTTAGGTAATCCACTGCATTTTATATTTCAACCAAAAAAAAAAAACATTGAGGAGCATTATCCCACTTGTATTTAGTACCCTATACTGTATTACTTATTCAGCTTCGCCATTACAGTCCTCAACACTAATCAATATTAATCTAGGTACAGTACAGTGGCATAGTCCAGTTGGTATATCTGGACTTAAACTGTACTGTACCCATCAAGATTCATCATTATTCACCAAACTGATGAACCAATTCTAACCATTACTACCTAATTTGTATAACAGTAGTCACCCCAGCTTATTTCACCTGATGCTTAAACACCCTAATGCTCCTAATTCTCAACCTTAGCCACAAAACTTATTATTTATCACCAATTAATGATTATTCAGCATTTTTTTGTTTTAGATATTTTCATACTTGATTTTCTATACACACAGTGATACATCCATTGGTAAACACTATGAATAACCTAATTATACTGTTAAGACTCATTATTTTCACTCACAGCTCTCCTTCACTAAAAAACTGTTTCCTAATTTCAGACAAAAACAGCCAAATGTGTGAAGGCTTTAACACACTAGCCAGATAATGAGCTTTTCTGTATATAAATCATATCAAATAAGGCTAAACAGGACTATTATTACTCTTTAGGTTTCATCATCATCACTACTTATAAAGATCAAAATATTTCTCCTTTTATTGCTAACTTAGTCTCAACCCTTAAGTACACGAGACGCCACAGAGTGAGTAACAACGTTTGAGATGTTAACTATGGCTGGTATATAGTTAACCTTCCTGCTGGGGGGGGGGAGAAAATTGTACTTTCACTTAAGACATCACGTGAGCTGCGTCGCCACAACTAAACCATCCTCGTGCCTTTACAGAACCTTATAACGTGTTCATGCGGTAACAACACCTTCAGAATGACCTAGAGTTGTAGGGAGGAGCTTAGCGAGGTGGTGTAGGTTGTGACCGTGGATGATGAGCGGGGTATTTCATCATCCCTATAGTCATGTTTTGGTCTATTATCTATCATTTTATCAACATCAACGAGCTAGTTATGACCAATAGCCATCTGCCTTGGTCCAGGGAGGAGGGTAGTTAAAGCGGAAATAGCATTTAGTGTGTTGAGGCAGCCAGGGAGTCCTCGGTCTCACTTCATTCACAAGACAGACACACACACACGTTCATCAGACACCTGTAAATACCCCCACTGAGCATTATTACCCCCAGTCCTGACTCACCTTCCATATATGAACTAATTAAGCCGCCGGGGGAGGGGGGAATATCCCAGCCGGTATTTAGTGAGTGGTGACTGACAGACACTTACATACACACCCGAGAGCGATATAAACCATCCCTCACCTGTAAATAATAACAATATTAGCCCCAATCATCATTCTCTCTGCACACAGGGTTGAGAGGGCAGCGGTGGGGTAGTAGTCCAGCCGGTAGGTGGTGAAGGGGGAGGGATTGGCCCTGACACTCACGGACGTACACACAGACTGACGGACGGACCTGGACCATCACCCACCTGTAAGTGCTCCTGGAAGCGTATGGGCAACATCTGCGTCATGTTGGAGGGAGGTGGTGAGAGGAGGCGAGAAATCCGTTAAGTAAAGGGGCTATATTGAGCTTTCGCGACCCATCCAGAGCGTAACACTGCGGTACCGACACTATCCAATATGTCCGCCTCGCTGACAAGTGCACCAGCCAGTCCGCCCTCTGTGTATCAATCCGCGGCCACCTGGCCACTGTTACTTAAATCACCACGACCAACAACCTGACCTATTTTTATTTTATTTTAGCTTAATCATATTATTTAGCCCAGTCTAACCTATTCTGATGTGTCTAAGCAATTCCACAGTAATTCTTTGTTAGGTTATGCTCCACGAGGTGGACAATATTGGGAGATATACTGATAACAGGATAGTTAATCTATCCATTGTTTTAAGTAAATGACTCGGACAAACCCATCTTATCTTGACCTACTCTGACGACTTCAGAGTAATTATGGTGAGGTTTTAGATTAGCACTTATTGGTTAAAGTTGAGAGAAATAACATGGATAAGACCAAAAACCTTCTGTATTTTCTTCATGAAAGCAGGCGATTCCAACCTATCCTAACCTACCTGACCTACTTACACTATCTCTATCTAATTAAATTTAACTAACCTCGGGTAAAATAAATCTTAAAAACGTTTTAATTTGGTTCACATCTCCAGCAAAATACAAATAATATCGCGCTAATATTCGTGGTAACATGTTAACATTATTGAACTTGCTCCATTTACTACATATATTTTTATTGTCATTAACTCTCAACACTTGGAGTTGGTAGTTATATATACGATAATAGTTATTCTACATATACCAATCAAAAGGAATATTCGTCTGTATGTATTTGGCGAATGGCAAAGGAAGTGATATATTGGCGGAGGGATAAGTGAGTTGTGCGTCCTGCCAACTGAGCAGCCTCTGTCAGATTTCTCATTGATCCACCATGGGTCCTTTACCACGGGAACCTGGCCAATTTTCCTCTTAATTACTCACAAACAACAACAAATATACAGTAAATATCACCAAATACTTACTAGGGACAATTATATAAAGTGCATAAAATATTACTAACATATGTCGATTAGAACAATTGGTTTAATTTATTTCGGTATGATGAAGCAGAGTTTTAGAAAGTAGCTAGTGACAGTGCAGAACCACAGTCAATGAATGACCATCAGGAGCCGGTAGTCATACACTGATTCATTTATTTATTACGCACTGCGAGTATTCATATAACGTCTCTCATGAGTTAGTTATATACAGTACATCACAGGTTGTTAGGGATGCCTTGTGTAGTATATGACCAAGGGTTATAGTGGGTGTTCCTGGTCGAGTCTACCATTGACTGTATACATGTACGGTCTATGTATACAATGTTTGAATACCTGTACTGTATATTGTATACATGTATGGTGTATGTACATTGTAAGCATGTACAATACTATCTACCTACTACCAATACTGTACAATGTATACATAACTCTATATAATAATAATAATAATAAACGGTTTATTAATAGAGTTGCAGCCGGTGGCTGAAAATATACAGACTTACATTTGATTTAGACATAATGATATAATATGCATTGAATACATTTACAGGGCTGTACAGTAGAGAATATCCCTCCCTGTGGTGATAATGAGTCACGGAGACTCATCTGCCGCGTGTCATCTGGGGTCGATACAGCTTCAGGGAGTGAGCCTTTGACCCCACGTGTATATCTGTACATTGTGTATATCTCCACTTTTCTATGAACATTGTATACCTACACTGTCTATGTATATTGTATGTAGTATACGTGAACTCTTATGGCGAATTTAATTGAATATCTATCTATCTATCTATATATCTATCTATCTATCTATATATCTATCTATCTATCTATATATCTATCTATCTATCTATCTATCATCATCAATAATAATAATAATAACAATAACAATAATAACCCACAGATTTATCCTATATAAGACAGACTGACACACAAGACGGCCCATAATTTACACCCCCAGGCTTCAGAGTTTCAATATTACACAGACCAACACCCTCTACACCTCCAGTATACTCACCAACACCCTCTACACCTCCAGTATACTCACCAACACCCTCTACACCCCTGGTATACTCACCAACACCCTCTACACCCCTGGTATACTCACCAACACCCTCTACACCTCCAGTATACTCACCAACACCCCTACACCCAGTATACCTTCACCAACACCCCACACCTCCAGCATACTCACCAACACCCTCTACACCCAGTATACTCACTAAACACCCTACACCCTGGTATACTCATCAACACCTCTACACCCCTGGTATACTCACCTTCCAACACCCTCACACCTCCAGACACTCACCAACACTCCCTACACCCCCTGGTATACTCACCAACACCCCCCTACACCCCTGCATACCACCAACACCCCCCACACTCCACAGTATACCACCAACACCCCTCACACCCCTGGCATACTCACCAACACCCCACACCCTGGTATACTCACCACACCCTTCACACCCTCCCAGCATACCACCAACACCCCACACCTCCAGTATACTCACCAACACCCCTACACCTCCAGTATACTCACCAACACCCTCTACACCTCCAGTATACTCACCAACACCCTCTACACCCCTGGTATACTCACCAACACCCTCTACACCTCCAGTATACTCACCAACACCCTCTACACCCCTGGTATACTCACCAACACCCTCTACACCTCCAGTATACTCACCAACACCCTCTACACCTCCAGTATACTCACCAACACCCACTACACCCTGGTATACTCACTCACCCCCACACTTCCAGCATATTCTCCACTCAAACACCCTCTACACCCCTGGTATACTCCACCAACACCCTCTACACCCCCTGGTATACTCACCAACACCCTCTACACTCCCCTGGTACTCACCAACACCCTCTACACCTCCAGTATACTCACCAACACCCTCTACACCCCTAGTATACTCACCAACACCCTCTACACCTCCAGTATACTCACCAACACCCTCTACACCTCCAGTATACTCACCAACACCCACTACACCCCTTTACTGACTGGTGGAAAGATTGGTAAACTGATAGACTGACTGGCTGGCTCATTAACTGACTGTCTGTGTGTGTGTCTGTGTGTCTGTGTGTCTGTCTGTCTGTCTGTCTATCAAGGAAATGTTTTGGAATGTTTCGAACTGTGATTTAAATTTGATGAGTGGAGGGAAGGAGGGAGGGAAGGAGGGAGAGAGGGAGGGAAGGAGGGAGGAAGGAGGGAGAGAGGGAGGGAAGGAGGGAGGAAGGAGGGAGAGAGGAGGGGAGGAGAGAGAGAGAGCGAGAGAGAAAAGGGGAGAGAGAGGGAGGGAGTTTTTAGTGTGGAAGAAGGGGGACATTGGGTGACCTCTAAAGCTTAGTATTGAGTGGCTACCCCGCCCCTCTCATGACCGGGAGAGGGGCGGGAGGAGAGGGGGGGAGGAGAGGGGGGGAGGAAGAGGAGGATAGAAACATTAAGAGTGATAGATATATGGAAGGAAAGAGGAGGGAAGGAAGAAGATATGAGAGAAGGAGGAAGAGGAGAAGAAGAGGGAAATAAGAAGATGACGAGGAGAAGAGGGAGATAAGGAGGCAGGGAGAAAGTGAAAGAGAAGGAGGAGGAGAAGAGGGAGGTATGGGGTAAGAGAAGGAGGGAGATAAGGAATAAGAGGAGGAAAGATAAGAGTGTGGAGGCGTAGATAAAGGGGAAGAGAATGACACGCTTCTATTATTATTATTAACCTGCCCACAACTTCACGTCAGGTATTGTCTGTCTGTCTGTCTGTCTGTCTGTGTGTCGCCTCTTGCCTCTTGTTGACTCTTAATGGACACGACACTATACGAATCTTCCCAAACTGTATACGCTATAAGAGGCACCCGTTTGTGGCAGGGTTGCACTAAGCGGAGTGCCCCGGAATCGAGTCAGCGACCTACTAGAACAGGAAATATGACCTGTATCCACTCCACCGCCTCATTTCTGTTAATAAAAGAACTAAAGTATAAAAAACAAACTCACAGCATCAACAATAATATATACAAAAGCGCGCGCAAAATCGGCAGAAAAATACCCCAAAAACGCGCGCAAAATCAACCCGAAACAAAATGCGCAAATCATTCCGATAAACAAGTTCAGACATGTTTCCCGCCAAAGTGAAGAAAATAACCAAGGTAATAATTGATGACTCTAACACAGTCTTGTTTACACCGCCATGCTCCGCCTTGGGAATGTGAGTCATGTGTACTATCACGCGTACACTGACGTTGCATGTTCACACGCTGGTCATGTGAGGCACGGAGGTTGGTGGGGATACCGTATGTGCGTATTCGTGTCCGTATAGTTCCATGGTTAGTGGTGGTGGTCACACATATAGCAACACACACACACACACACACGGACAGCTGGTCACCATCATTACACTGCACTTATTGCACCGATTTGTACGTCCTGTGTGTGTGCGTGTATGTGTGTGTGTGTTTATGTGTATGTGTGGAGGTGCTGGTGGTGTTAGATGTTGAGAAGTGAACAGACATATACACACACACATTCTTTCACATACAAAGAGAGAGAGAGAGAGAGAGAGAGAGAGAGAGAACACTCATATTGATGAAGTTTTGACCAACGAGGCTGACAAAGGTGGAGTTTTGACCAACGAGACAGACTAAAGTAAGGTTTTGACCAACGAGACAGACTAAGGTAGAGTTTTGACCATTGAGATATTACTTAATGGGTGGGTATAAACTATGTGAAGTGATTATGTCCAGTGAGGTTTTGTCCAATGGAGAATTGTGTTGTGTTCGATATGTCAATTGGACCTTGCGTGTTGGCCACTGTCTGTCCGTCCGTCCTACCCTCCTCCTACCTCCTCTTCTCTCTCTCTCTCTCTCTCTCTTCCTCTTTCCCTCCATATTCCTCCCTCCTTTCCTCCCTCCCCCACACACACAGAACAAAGCCTCGTGACGTCTTTGCTAGTTAGGAAATTCCCCAGAAGCGACAAAAAATACGAATTGATTAGCGTACAGTAATGTCTTAAAACACTTCAGATAGATAGATAGATAGATAGATAGATAGATAGATAGGCAATTTATTCACTAAATCGTCATACAAATTCGCATTAGTT